CTTTGCTTATTCAAGATCATCCATCACAATCATCACCAGCGTATTTCTGTCTCTGTTGTTAAATAAATATTGCCATAACAGTTTAAGTTACAACTTAATTGTGGGTAATCAGTTTCCTAGAACAAGCGTTCAGAATTAATAAGATAAAAATCTGCATCCGAATTCCATCTACATCAACTCAAATTACTTATAATAGAACAGTAACGTCAGTTCTGATGTTAAATACCAAACATTTACTGGCACAATAACTTAATTTCTGGCAAGGCAAAATAGTACAAGAAAAGGAGGAAAAGTAAGATTAGTGTTTATACTACTTATTTGTTGTTATTTGTGTTATTTCTCCGGTAACCTTCTGCATCTGCCTCAGTCCAAGCCAGAAAAATTCGAGCTGCATCCGGTTTCTCCTTCAAAATAAATCACCATCACCATCGGAAGGTAAAATAAATGCTTTGGAGGGTTTGAAGCCTCGGGGGGATCAGACAGCTTGTCAAATCCCTGGCTGTAAAAACCCACTCTTTGGCGCTCGAGCTGGATTTCCAGCTCAAAGCTAAGTTCCTCCGAGGAGGTGCAACAGCTGCTTCCTTGTTTGAATTAGGAAGTCAGAGTGCGTCGCTCAAAGCCGTCCGGGTTAGTAATAAGAACGGACGAACTTTGGTTCCGTCCTCAGGCTTAGAGGTGAGTCAGAGAAAGGAAAGATAAAGATTTCGCCGGGCGCCAGTCAAGGTTAACTCTGTGTTTGAACACACAAACAACCTGATTGCCTCTTTTAACTTCCTTCTGATAGACTCTAAAATAAACCACTGCAAAACATTTTATGCTGATTAACTGTAAAATTTCTGTTTATAATCACCTCTGAACCATTCTTAGTCCAGATAAATGAAAGATTTTCTCAGGAAACATCCACAATTATATTACTGTGTTCACAGTAAAATAAAAACAGTGATTTGCATAAAAACACAATGAAAACATTGTTATCAGATTCTGTGATTTTTTTTATACCATTATAAATCTTTAAGGCACGATAAGAGAAAAGAAGTTGTTCTACTTTTCCTGTGACAGTCATTATCATGATTTAACAAATGCATAACATTCTTAGTTAAATGACAAATGAATCACGAACAAGGGAGATTGTTCTGTCCATTATCTGATTAAGAGAACTGAGGGGTTCTCTTCCACGGTTAGAATGACCTGTCATGGCCTAAATAGAGTTCAGTTTGTAACAGAGTTCCTGTCCTCTCGTCAGGCCTGTCCGAGGCCTGCTTAGAGGCAGAAAATCTTGTTTCTTCACTCGAGGTGACCCCTAAAACTGTTTCCATCTAGTTTCCCTCTTGACTGTTTGATCCGAATAAACGAGGCTACGCAACGCGTGATTACGTCAGACGAGGCTACGCAACGTGTGATTACGTCAGACGTCGGCGACAAGCTTTGCGGTAGTAAACAGGAAGTGAAACTTGCTAACTAGCAGAGGCTAATCATCTCGGGACAATGAGCGATTGTTTCGTGAATGCCTTGCTTTTGGGCAAGTTGTAATTATTCTATCTATTCAGCTAGTATAGGCTATGTTTAACGCTGCCAGGAGACGTAGGGAAATAAAACGCAATGTTAAACTACGCAGCAGAAAGGCACGTGCAACTACATCGGGACGAGGCAGGAAAGCGGAAACAGCTGAATGTCACGTGAGGTAAATATGCGCTACGTCAGAATTTATTCGGCAAACATGTTTCCATCTCCCGTTTTGCGCATTAACTACTTTGCGAATCATCCAAAAACCACCTCAAGCGAGCGTAAAAACTTTAGCGAATTGAGGATTTTTTTTCGAATTTTGCTGTTTCCATCCGACTTTTTTTTCCCATTTTTAATGCGACACTTCTAAATGCGCATCAAAAAGCCTTGATGGAAACACGGTTTCTGACTGTGTTAGATGGGCATATATCGATTCCCATCGAGCACATGATCGGTATTTTCATTTTGCCTTGATATAACTGAATCAGGAACCATTCAAATCGATGTATCGATTTAGGTCGATGTATTGTTACAACACTAATCTCTGATCAGTTATCTTGTCTCTGATCAGTGATCTTGTCATTTTTACAAATCTTTATTGAAAAGGCAAATCCTTTTCAACATAAAGGTATACTTGGCTGCTACTTGGGCCTGTCATGTTGGCTTTGAGGGAGAACAGTGGGCCAACTCCCATTGTTGTGTCATTTTATTATGGGGTCTGCTGCAAATTGCCCAGTATCAAGCCTGTATTAAATTCTCCCCTAATGACACAAAGGCAATGCTGCAACCAAACCCAGCTTTTTATTCCAAAAGTGTTGGGTTCATGTTCTCCAACAGAGCTGACTTCTTTTTACCCACCTTCATTTGCTTCAGAGGAGCAAAGGCATCTACATAATTTGTGTCCAGTGCGTGCTTTGAAGAATTATTTGGACAGGACACAAGGTTTTAGGAAAACCAACCAGTTATTTGTGTTTTGGGCCTGTATCAAAGTAGCATCTTTCTCACCGGATAGTGGAAGCCATTACTCAGGCAGATTCAAGCAGGGGACTCCATACTCGCAGGGTCTTTGCACACATTCCACCTTGGCTTGCATCCTCTTGAGGCCTTTTCAAAGGGGTCTCTAATCCAGGAGTTGTGTGCAGCTGCATGCTGGTCCTCCTCTGAAACACTTGCTAGATTTTATAAGCTTGATGTGACTGCTCCTGTTTTGGTACATTCAGCTTTCAATGCAGGCTCTTATTGTGTGACTCCTTACTGAGTGACCCCTGGGATGTCATTAAAAACAGGCATGTCTGGTAATTCAGGAGTCAGTATTTCTCCCCATAGTGAGACATGAAACGAATGCTATGAAAGAGATGTTAGAGTTGTGAATATAACCCCCGTTCTCTGACTACCCGGACTGGGAAGGACGTGGCCCACATGGCCCGGCTGAGTTATGCACTCATGAGGATGCAGCCCATGAAGCCAGTGCCTTAACAGACCACCCTCTGTGCTGTGGAAGAATAAAAGAGCTGAGCTTGTTTTTTTTATGAATGATGACTAATGCTGTCAGACATACAGTATTAATAGGGGGAGGATCTGGGCTCCTCCTGACCTCACTGGTGCCAGCCATTTACTGCTGGTGTAATGAGATGTAAGCTTTTCATAGGCGTCTTCCCCATTGTGAGACACTATTTATAAACCTTAAGTTTCTGGAGCTTGTTTGTGTTTGGATTAAAAACATTTATTCTCATAGTCGGTTCTGTATGAGACTGAGGAGCTCACCTGTTCCTGATCCACTACTATTATTGGGAAGCCCATTTGCTTTGTCCATGAGCCCATCACTGCAGCGATGGGTTTCCCACTGGCCTGTTCCAGACAGTCCCACAGATCCTCTGTAGAAAACATACAAGAATCAGAGAAATGTGGCCTACTTTCTGCTTCTCCTTTTAGTCCTGAACTTAGCAAGAACACAGAGTCCTTTTTATTCTGGAGTTCATGATTAGTGCTCACTTAGTGCTTCAGAAAGGTCACTGCAGTCTTGTTGGATGGCTAAATACTTATAACTGTTTAAACAAGAAAAAAAATTGTCTCGCAAAATAGGGAGGTAGGACCAAAAGGAGAAATGTGACAGTCTAAAATCATTTTGCTTATTGGCTTCACCTAGAGGAAACTAGTGTTTCTTCACTTCTTTACCTGTGGATGCATTTTTATGTTGGAATTTTAAAAGATAGGCATTCATTCCTTTCCTGAAGTCCTGCAGAGAAAAGACAAGAAATCAATTTATATCCCTGTACAATGTTTGTAAACTGAGTTCCAGAGAGTGAAAATCCTTCAACTATGGATTATTTGTGGGGAGTTGAGCAGATTTTTTCAAAAACATCAGTCCCACCTCCTGCCTAACCTAAAACCCCAATAATGACAGATTATGTTTGTGTTGGATACAGCAGTTACTTTGATAAATTGTCAACAACATTAAAGCAAACACTGCACAACAAGAACAATACATCAAGCATTCAAATTAAAAAATATGGGAAATGTGATCATTAAGACCAGCACCTGTGTAGAAATATTTACCTCGATTTCTTTAAACGTTGAGGAAAACTTCCCTCAGTTTCTTGCTGGATACTCTGCCTTAAAAGTGCACGATATAGCGTTTGAGTATCATCAAAGCAATGCAACGTGTGTGCAATAGTTACTTGATGTAGGAGGCAAATTAATTCATGGTTTTATTTAGAGACTAAACCATGAGTTACTGCACTAAATGGTTTTGACAGGGTGCTTCTGCTGGCAGAAGCGGGAGGTTTCGTGTCAAAAACGTTATTTGTTTGTGAAACTTCTGGGACAATAATGGTAATGTTATCTGGAGAAGTGATGTCAGGGAATTCTCAAGCTTTACAGAAAGACAATATCTGCGCTTCCAATGCAAATGTGCGCAAAACTTTCTCGATTTTCTGTTAATGTCGAAAAACAGTTTCGCAACTGCGGTGTTTCCATTAAGTAAGAAATGCTATTAAAGTCAAGCGTGAATTTTCTCATGATAAGTCATTACAAACATGGCGGCGATGGATGTAAACACATAGCATGTTGCTACCACGACACTAGCGCTCATCATCAGAGGAGACGTCGGCGTCCTTTATCGAGGCTTTCCAGAGACAAGTCCCTACTTGGGAGCGGCTACGTATGTTGTGTTTTTGGGAAATTGTAGTCCGTGAGTTTACTATTTTATACTACTTCTGTGTTATTACTACTACTTCTACTTCCTGTTATCTTCTTCGTCGTCATCTTTTTCACCAGTAGAAACAGCTGTTGTTGATCACGTGACTCCTGTGATGCGAAAAAAGTGTTTCCATTGCAGTTTTGCGAAAAACACCAATTTCGATACTAGAGCTGCCACAAACAATTATTTTTATAATCGATTGATCACCGATTATTTTTTCGATTAGTCGACTAATCAGATCATACGTTAATTGAATATAAAACATACAGCTTATCGTGCCAGAATGCAGCTGCTATTATATAACCATGGTTAGATTTTAGCTATATGCTAACTAAAAATAATTGCTGTGGAAGGTAAGTTCTGCTCTGCAGATATTACACAGGTTTCTCTTTCATTTTCTTAAAATGATCCCACACTTTGAGCTCCGTTGTCAGGTAGCCATGATACCAGAGCCTGTCTGTATAACGTCTTGTGACGTTCACGGCCTACCCCAGTTACCACTACTGTGCATGTGTGTCAAGGACAGAAAGGCAGATGTGGCAGTGGAAGGTGTCAAAGCAGTTTGGAGAGAAAAACAAAGAACAAAAAACCCCCCCAAAAAACGATTAATCGATTGTTAGTCATCGATTATTTTAATAATCGATTAGTCGTCGATTTATCGACTAATCTTGGCAGCCCTATTCCATACGGCCGAAAAACCACCTCATGCTAGAGCAAAAACATTTTGTCGAAAAACGTCATTTTTTCCGAAATTGACGTGTTTCCATTGAGCAAATTTATTTTCGAAATTCTAATTTGCGCATTTTCGTGGTCAGTGTAAACACAGCTAGTGAGAATCTTCACGAAAACGAGGAAGATGAGCGAATTCACAGAGAACTGAAGGAAAAGATGTAAAATACGATTTGATTACGTGACGGAAAGAGAAACTAAGACAGAGGCAAAATATTAGGAGGTAAAACGCTATTCAAGTTAGCACATGATAGAAGAAAACCTGTCTTCGGGTCTCAGCACAATGAAAGCAAGCAATAAAAAAAGAAAAGAACTCAAATACAGGCAAAAACAATATGTATAAGAACAAAAAGAGGTCCGATCAGTGCAGGTTCATCGTCAAGATGCAAGCAGAACCTTAAATGTTAATTCAAGTCATCTTTTGAAAATTCCTGTATTTTTTCCATACAGAATGTTGCAGGGGTGTGGGGTGGTATGCAGAGCTAGAAAAAAACTCTCCAATATGGTGCAGCCCTACTCTGCCTGAAATCTTCAATGATGTAGATTTGAACGGCTTAAAGACTTTTCTTTTTAATCAAGCTTATCCTTAGCCTCTGCATGATTTTACTATAGGTTTTTATTTACTTTTAACAGGTTTTTTTGTAGCACTTTGAGATTTTTGTTAATGAAAAGTGTGGTACAAATTAAATTCATTATTATTATTATTATTATAACTGATTGGACTACCAGACGATAGTAGTCTCACGTGACACAAAGCAGATGTTCTACTTGGTTGTCAGTAAAAGAAAAACTCAATTTTTGCTTGTTTGTGCCATCCACTCCTGTTTCTTCTTGTGTTCACAGTTTGGAGGGTATGCTCCACATCAGTATATGTTACAGTGCTACATACAGCCCTGTTACAGTTACTGCAACACTTGGCTCATTTTTTATTTCGGTGTTGTAGTGGTCACCTAGAGGTGGAATAAACCGTTCCACCTCTCTTTGACCTTGGTCTCAGGAGGCCTCCTTCAGACAGACAGAACTCTGTTCGAGTTAAAGTCATAACATGTTTTCTTAAACATTAAAGAGATATTTTATTCTTTTTAAGTTTAAATATTTTACTCAACTAAACTCTGCATTATAGTTGTTTTATTTTGAAACATTTTATAATTATTTTTATCTGAATCATTATGAATTTTTTATATGAAATAATTCATTTTTAAGTTTTCAGTAAACCATTCTTTTTGTTCTTTAAATTGCTCTCAGCAGAGAGCAGATCAGAACGAGCTGTACGACTGTGCAGACGTCAACAATTTTGTTTAAGACAAACACCTGGCAGTGCTTCAATAACACTTCCTCTCTTTGAAACTAACACCTCTGAACTAACAGTCAGTCTGTTGAGTTGTTGGAAAATGAACGCTCTCGTGCTTCACGAGAACGCAGCTGGCTCCGAGGAGGAGAWCCAGCGTTTGGCTGTGTGAGGTTTAACCCATCGAGTGGAAGGGAACCTCTCAGCCTGGACCAGACCATCATTCGGTCTCGTCTATTATTTTGAGCTTACCAAAGTTCCTCACAGAGAAACTTTTGTTTTGAAACTTCCGAGCGGAAATTTTCTATGTTTGAAATGGATCCAGAGAAGCGCCTCGTCTTTGATCTTCGATTGAAAGCAGCCCAGAAGATGCTGAAGGAGGGACGTAAACACACCTGGAAAGTGTCCGACTGGATGAGGTTCTGAGAAGTTCTTCACTAACTGGACGATCTTTCCTCTGACTTGAGCTGTGGTGGTGAAACTGTCCCCAGTCAAGGTAATGGCTGTTTGTTACTGAGCGTACCTGAGGTCTGGCTGGATCCGTAGAGAGACGTCTGCCTTTCTGGTTAAAATCCACACTCTTTAAAAGGTTAAAGTTAAAACTACCTAATCCTCTTCCTCCATCTTTCTTTCCTCTTAAACCTGCCCTGCCAAAAATTAAGTGCCACAAACAAATGGTTTATTAACATCTAAATCTTAAAGTTTGTTGTTAAACTTTTTAATGGAAATTCATCTCACAATATAAGCTGTAGATTAGTGATGTTTCGGTCGTGTATGTCTGTCTGTCTGTCTGTCTGTCTGTGGACAACATTACTCAAAATCTTGTGGACAGATTGTCAAGACATTTTTACCACGTGTGGGTACTGGCCCAAGAAACATCTTTAAATGTTGGTGATTTTCCGGATCACGATGCGGATACAGGAATTTTTTTTCTTTTAAGACTCTGAGATCGGCAAAGCTGTGATGCTTTCACAGGGCTTTTGTAAAAACAGTGAGCTGGATTGGACAGCACGGACTTCAAACTTTATAAAAGTAATGTTAAAACCAGATTTAATGATGAATAATTTTTTTGCTTTTGCGCATTAACTCTTACAGGATGGGGGAAATTGGTCTTGGTGGAGGTTTTCACTGTCTGAGTGCTTCTAGTTTGATTCTGAAAATAAATAATCTTGATTATTTTAGATCAACCTAAACTCACTGAGTACGCACATCTTATTGTGTTTGTCCCTTCATTTTTGTACAAAGAAGATTTTACCGAAAATAAGAAGAACCGGTGAATTTCCTTATAATTTTATTATAAGAAGGTTTATAAATCACTACATATTGGTAGTTCTATGATTCCCTACAGTGTGGATGAAAATGTTTCTAGAAATGGTGCTGTGTTTATGTTTTGGAAAGATGGTGCTTCGATGTGGACAAGGCCTAAAATATACCAGTTTGAATGCAGACATAAAGCTTTGCTGTTTGACCACCAACCTCATTTCCTATGTAGTTGTGCAACATGCGAATCACAGATGCTCCTTTGCTGTAGGAGATAGCATCAAAAATTTCATCAACCTCTGATGGATGGCCCACATTCACCTAAAGCACAAAACAGAAAAAAAAAACATTATTGTGATGGAAGCTGTGATTTTAACATGTAAAATCTTCATCAATCATCATTTCATCAGTTTTTAAATAATCAACTTCCTGTTTTACAGCTGTTAAGCACCAATTTGTCTGAAGTAAAACCAACGAGTGACAGGTGGCAGAACAACAACGCTCTGCTTCTTCATCTCACTTCTATAGGATGGCTGCTGTCCAGTGCATCCAGGTCCAGAGCTCGGGTGTAGTCTGCCGAGACAAACTGGGTCCAGATGTCATATTCGGGGAAGCAGTGGTCTACGCACAGATACTCGATCCAGGATGCAAACCCCTCATTAAGCCACAGATGGGTCCACCATTCCTGTGTACAAATCACAAGACACCCAGTCTGAGTTTGTCGTCCTACCAAACACTGCCAGAATAAAACTGTTTTTAATCCTCACAAACAATAATGGGGCAACATGAGTTAAGCTACACGTTAAAAAATAATTTTTGTTTGTGTATTAAATGATTATGATGAACTTTTCTTCTGTCTAAGGCCCTGTTTACACAAGACCGGTCTCTGAAAGCTAATGTTTACTGGGGCGAACACACACACACACACACACACACACACACACACACACACACACACACACACACACACAC